CTTTTCAGATCATCAGAGAGCCATGGAGCAGGTAAGTGCTTGAGTTTAACATAATGCATTGGCGCGTGTACGTCATATAGCTGAGTGAGAAGGGAATTGAAAAGTTCCACTTTATCGTCAATGCATGGTGCTCTCTCAATCACTGACCAGTCAATATTATGAGCATCTTCGCAAAGTTGGTCAATATCCATTCCTCCAAAATTACGTCGCAGAACTAATTTAGGTTTGATTTTAGGAGGGCGTAGTTTATACGAAAGGAAAAGTAAATCGTGATAAGAGAATGCATCAGCAGGACACTGTCCATGCTTGAAAACTAGGTTTGAAGATGACACGATAATTAAGTCCAGAAGGGAAGGAGTACAGTTAGGAAATTTGTGAGTAGCAGCAAGAGGTAGGATTTGCATATTACACGCTTCAATTATAGACTCAAGTTTTATTGCCCGATTGTCGCCTTTAAGTAAACAGGTGTTAAAGTCACCCATCAAAATAGTATGACTATATGTAGGGACTAGTGATTCTAAAAGAGATTCAAAAGAAGTAAAATAGTTTATAGAAAGAGAGGGACTGTAGAAAACTCCAAGTAGGATTTTATTCTGAGACAGGGAGACCTCAACTAGCAAATGCTCAGCAGAATCACCAGGAGGCGGTTGACATGACGAACTAACAATTTTAAATGGAAAGTAGGATCTTAGATAGATCGCCACGCCCCCACCACCTCTATTACTGCGGTCATTTCTAATTAGATGAAACCCAGGCAAAGAGTAAGAAGTAGAAGGCAATAAATTTATATCAAGTTTCGTTTCTTCTTAAAACCTTTTTTTTAGTACGTTGTAGAATCACACTACAGCTATGAAACAGAAACAGAAACTTTTTATTCAATGTAGATTATAACAATACTTATTGAAAGTCACTTTTTTAATTTACCACTGGTTCGCAAAAAAAACCCCTGTCCTGGCAAGAACCAGCAAGAAACCCAACGGGACTATTTTTTTCCAATAATAGCTTACAATCATGTTTACAATTAACAACACAAGGCAAATTAGAAATAGCTTGGTAGCGATCACCCTTCCCAGGGGTTATTATCATCCATAAATTCCTTAATATTATAATAACCCTTTTTATACAAACTTAGTTTAATAACATTTTTGAACTTTGTGTATGACAAATTTTGTATATTTTCTGGGATTTTTTGTAAAAGCGTATACATCGCCCCAAGAATGAATTACTGACTCAGTGGAGTCGAGTAACTGGTACTACTAGCTTGTGTCTGCTCCTATTATTTACAGAATGAATATCACTTATTTTCGCAAAACTACTTTTATTTTTGTGTACATACATTACATTTTCATAAATGTGTTGAGAGGCCAGAGTTAATATATTGATTTCCTTAAATTTTTGTCTCAGTGACTCTTTTGGTTTTAAATTATATATTGCTCTAATGGCCTTCTTCTGCAAAATAAATATAATTTCAGTGTCAGTCGCGTGTCCCCATAGCAACACACCATACGACATTATGCTATGGAAATAACTAAAGTAAACTATTCTAGCTGTTTCAACACTGGTAAGAGTTCTAATCTTTTTTACAGCATATGCTGCAGAACTAAGTCTGCTAGTTAGTTTTGATATACGGGGGGAGCCATTGAAGCTTTGTGTCCAGTGTGATTCCAAGAAAAATGGTGGTATCAACAAGACTCAGTTCCTCCCCATTTAAAATTACATTAGTATTGATATGTTTAACATTAGGAGTGACGAATTTCATGCATTTAGTTTTAGTTCCACTCAAATGCAAATTATTAACGTTAAACCAATTGACCAACTTAGCTATAGCATTATTTACTTCGTCGTAATTTAATAACTGTCGTTTTAATTTGAAAATTAATGAAGTATCATCAGCAAATAATACTATATCATAGTTATCCCCTACTATGTAAGGTAAGTCATTAATATATACAAGAAACAGAAAGGGGCCGAGAATTGAGCCCTGAGGCACGCCCATTTGTACAATCGACCCGGAAGGTCTCATACTATTGATGACAACTTTTTGCGTTCTGTCACTTAAATATGAAATAATTAACTTAAGAGCATCGCTTCTTACACCGTATTGTTGAAGTTTCCTGATTAATGTTTCATGGTGAACACAATCGAAGGCTTTGGACACAGAACACATCCAAAGTATCCTGTGAATTCTCCCATGCATTAAATATATATTTAATCAGCTCAACACCAGCATCAGTTTTCAAGCGACCCCTTGTGAAACTAAATTGATTTTTATGAAGTAAATTATTTACATTAAAAAAATTTAACATTTTATCAAGAATAATTTTTTCAAAAATTTTACTAAGTGTTGGCAGTACAGAAATAGGTCTAAAATTAGCGGGGTCCAATGTGCTACCAGATTTAAATAAAGGTATTACTTTACTATGCTTCATTAAATCAGGAAACACACCAGATTCGATACTAGTATTAAAAATAATAGATAGTTGAGGTGCGATTATAACTATTATAGACGCAATAACTTTAACGGAAATCCCCCACAGATCGGCGGTTCTCTTAATATCAATAGTCTTAAAATATTTTACAATATCTTTTGATGACACTTTATGAAATGTAAAATTCTTTGTACACACATTTACATTTTGTTTAAGTAATGATTCGGCGACGGCAGGAGAAGAATTCAGTGACTTAGTGGTTAAGATCGGAATATCAGTAAAATATTTCTCAAAAACCATTGCAACATCCTGAACTGATTTAGTTAAGATCTATAATATCAAGATTTATAATATCATTGATTAAAACTACTTTTACGGATTTTATCGCGTTTTATTTATTTATTTTTTAATGTCCGACGTTTCGGGTGCTTGCCAGCCCCTATGGTTACGGGGGACTGGGTGCTGGAAAGCTCCCGAAACGTCGGGTATTAAAATAAATAAAACGCGATAAAATCCGTAAAAGTAGTTTAATCTATGTGCAGTGTTCACATAAATATTTGGTCCTTACATATGAAATTAGCGTTTTGTCGTACTGACCACTTTGATCTGTAAATTTGAATTTGGAATTCTTAAACAAAAAGGAGATACCTTTTTGTTTAAGAATTCCAAATTCAAATTTATAAATTCATTTAGCTGGTACATTTGAGTTTTGAAAACAGTAATTCATTTGTTTTCCTCATTATTTTTTTCTTTGCTGTCGCTTATTACCGCACAACTGAAAACGTGTAATATCGGTATATTTACGAGTCCAAGTTCTGCCGTGGCACCAGTGCTGCAGAAACAGCTCGAAGGATTAATTATGTGTACGGCGCTAGTGTCGCAAAAGAAAGCACGGTACGTTTTTGGTTTCAACGTTTTCGTTCTGGAAATTTCGACCTTCAGAACCAACTGCATGGACGGCTGGAGACCAAAGCGAAAAATGAAGAATTAAAGGCTATAGTGGAAGCGGATCCATCACCATATATAGCTGCAGGCTTCGGGGTAAGTGATAAATCTGTATTAATTCACTTGAATATCTTCAAATCGGGAAAGTAAAAAAACTTGAACGATGGGTACCTCATGAATTGAGTGAATCGAACTTGCAAACACGCGTCGACTGCTGTGTTACTTTGCTCAACCGACACAAAAATGAAGGGTTTTTAAATCTAATCATTACTTGTGATGAAAAGTGGATACTGTACGACAATCGGAAGCGCTCGTGGCATTGGCTGAACCCTGCAGACCCAGCCAAATCCTGCAATAAACACAAATTTACTCAGAAAAAGTTACTTGTAAGTGTTTGGTGAACTAGCGCCGGTGTCGTTCACTACAGCTTTTTAAAATCTGGAAAGGAAGAAATACCTGGTAAACAACCGAGATTGGTCAATCGCTCTAGGCCACTGCTGCTTCACGACAAAGCAAGACCACACACTGCACAACAACCACTAAGTTAGATGAGCTACAATTGGAATGTCTGCGACATCCACCGTACTCCCCCGAACCTTGCTCCAACAGATTACCATTTTTTCCGGAATTCGGACAACTTCTTACAAGGAAATAAATTCAACTCCGATGTGGCTGTCCAAACCGCCTTCAAAGAGTTTATTGATTCTCACCCCCAAAAACATTTGACTTTATATTCCTCCCGTACAAAACGCCAATTTCATATGTAAGGACCTATTATAAGAAATCATTATGAAAAACCTTATTAAATAAACGTAGTAATAAAACACACACACACACACACACACACACACACACACACACACCCCATATATATATATATATATATATATATATATATATATATATATATATATATATATATATATATTTTAATGTATTTTACAGACAGACGTCGGGGTATTAACGTTAGGAGGATTGCCGCGATCGACAATTTTTTTTTTTGTCAAACGTGAGTACGTTTTCTAGCTCGAGCTGTTCTAGTCCATCGATTTTTCTCGAAGTCCTTCCCATGTCATCTTCCTACTTCTTGCTCTATGACGAACTTTCACACACTAATATAAAAAGATAAAAAGAGCGCGTACCATTGCTTATTCTCTATTTTCAGTGCCTATTTGTTAATTTTTTTTAGTTTTTACTTTTGATAACTTGTTTGTTTTCTTACTTTTATGCATGCTATAATTTTTTATTAGGACCATTGTTATTTTGTGTTTGTTTAGCTGTTTTTTGATTAGGATCAGATGGATTATTACATTATGCATAAATTAATAAGCCTTTTTCTAAATACAAAAAATGCTTTAACATTTCTACTGCGTGAATATAAAAGTGCGTCAAAGCCATAGTGCTATCGTGCGTGGATTACTTACTTTTAAATAATAGTATCAGGCGCATCTCGAGTCTCGACTCTCGACTCTCGACCTCATATCGCAAAGGGTTGTTCGAGGCGACGCTCGCAGCGTTGCAGTGTAAGGTCGCATAAATTCGGAGACTATACGCGGGAAAAGTTATTTTTTAAATAGTGGTAGAATAGTTTGCGTGAACACCACAATGACTACGCTGTTAAGAAAAATGTGGAAAACTCATTCAAAACATAAAAGTAAGTAGCTAAAGAAAATCTCTTATATGAATATTATATTTCTTTTTAAATTTAAATACGATTTAGGTACCTATATACTTACAAAAACTTGTGTTATTATTGGAGTACAGTCAAAATTATAAATAACATATTAATATAAATAATGAACTACGTGGTTTCCAATAAAGGATTTATTTATTGCTATTATTTTATTTATTTTATTTTATTTATTTATTTTATATTATTATTATAGCAATAATAGGATGTAAGTGTAGGGCAGTCCCCAGGTAGATGGAAAGATGACCTGGTAAGACATGCAGGAAGACAATGAATGCAGGTGGCTCAGCACCGTATTTCGTGGCATTCTTGTGGAAGGCAGTTCAGCAGTGAACTTGACGTGAATTTCTGTAACGATGATGAGAATATACATATAATATAATAATATCATACATCTATCTATTTTCGGGATGTTTTCGTTGTTAGTCTATGCGACTCTTACAGCTTCATCTGACTCAGGGCTAACCTCATACAATATACCTATGCTTATATACATAAGATTTATACAATTTGTTATAAATATTGTTGCGAAATTAGAAAGGACGTAATTATTTTCATAACAATAAATCTAATACGTAACAATATACGCTTACTCATACGTGGGGTTCTTAATTAAATTTTTCACTTGAAGAGAACTAACTGTAAGACGAAACTTTTTCATTTTTTTTATTCGTCTCCATCCATTAGGTAAGTCCTTTTAGCCGCCAAAAGTATCTCATACATTATTAGCGATCTGCCCCGGCTTCATATGGATGATTTCTGGATCGTCAGTAGATCCACCTAGCAGTTCGAATGTGTATTCGAACTGCTAGGCATACACACACACACCCACATACACACACACGCACACACAAAATTTCATCAAAATCTGTCCAGACATGGACAAAAGTGTTCATACATATGTATAAGCCTTCCTCTTGAATTATTTTGTCTATTGATGAAAACCCCATAAAAATCCGTTGTTTAAATGATCTAAGCGTACAGTCGGCGGGAAGCGACTTTGTTTTATACTATATAGAGATTTTGTCTTATACACTCCATCAAAAGATCGTCCAAATATTTCTAGAAAGAGTGGGTATTAAAAAAGGTCTAGAATGGCTTAATAGTAATGGAAGTATGTGTAATTAATATTAAATATATTTATTTTTATACTCCCATAGTAATTGTTTTGAACGAAAATGATTCATGCGAAGGACTCGGAACAATAATTATGCAATTATAACTTATGGCAGTTTTTTTAATTCATATATTTCTAATACTTAGATATAAATTTCGTTGAAAACGATTTATTAAAGGCCGTTGTCAATTTTCCTTAGGCTTTTCATGATTATGACATAGATTATTTTAAATTTTTTTTATTTTTCTCATTTTTAATTTTTCTCATTTTGACCGACTCCAAAAAAGAAGGAGGTTCTCAATTCGAGTGTATGTTTTTTTTGTATCTATGTATGTGACGCGATATCTTTGAATATTATGAACCGATTTTAATATTTTTTATAACATAGGCTTTACCTCAAGGGACGGGACCACCGTTCAATATTGAAAAAAAAATTCCGCCCCCAAGTGTGGAAAATAGGGGAAAAAGTTTCATATTGAACTATTGCTTAAGGAATTTCACATGGTATCTTCGCAGATTAAGGACCGGTTTTAATAATTCTTTTTACTCTTAAATAGGTCACATTTCAAGAGTGCTCCTGTATAAATTTGGAGATAAACTTCCACCCCTAAGAGTTGCAAATGAATAACTTCTTTTTTCGTAATTTGTTGTCGGTTTTTACTTGTTGGTAAAAATTATAATTATACAATAATTATTCGAATGACTTGTTATACAAAAACAATAATCAACATTTAATTGAATTCTTCGCACAAATTATAGATTTTTGTCACTGGTAAGTTTTACTTAAAATTGTGATATTACTATTTATAATTTGGTCGGGGAACATCTTTCGCAAAACAATGTCGTCAACATAATGTCAAGACTGCTATCTTTATCCAGTCATATTATGTATGTATATATGTATATATTTTCATTTATATATATTTTTATTTGATTTTAAGGGAAACATACAGTATAACAAAAATACAGTATAAAACATATAAAAGCAATCCTAAAACCAATAAAGTTGCCATAGATGCCTAATACATAGTAAGAGATTGCCACCACAATAATTAAGTATAAAAATTTAAAAAAGTATATAAAAAGAAAATAACTGAATGGTATTTATAATTAAACATTAAGTACTAAGCAGTTAAAAGTGATACTATACATACAACCTATAGTGAAGCTACCAATTATAAATTAAGTTTTACAATATTTTTTATAACTATTATATTTAATGTGAAAGATATCTAGTTCGCAATTTTTAAAGTTATATATATATATATATATATATATATATATATATATATATATATATATGTATTTATACTATATTATTTATTTTCATTTAAGGATAATTCTTATATATGGATTATTATGTATGTTTGTATTCATATGTATTAGTGTCGTTTACAAGTCTTATTTTATGTGTGTTATTATATTAAACTTATTATATGTAGTTAAATAACTACATATAGTAAATTTAATATAATAACACACATTAAAATAAGACCACTCACCTGCCAATTATTCCTCACTACGCCATGGGTAGACTGGCAGAGAACGCTAACTGACGTTAATTCCGCCTTTTGTAACCTTAAAGCTTTTAAATAAATAAAATATTTAGGAAGCTTAAGGGTCATCTTCAGTAGTTAAATTTATTTTTCGATTATTTGTGTTTTTTTTTTCTCTTTTTCTAAAGGTATATTAGTCTTAGTCAGTTATTCTGACTTAGTAACGAATATTATTATTTAAAACGTTATTGATTTTTATTAAAACATATTATATATTATATTCAGCGTATAAAATATAAACCTGAGTAGCAAGCAAGTTCGGTGTTGTGCTATCATTTTATTATTTTATCAGTGCAAAAAGTCGCAGAAAAATACGAAGTATAATTTAAATTACAAGCAATTGCAGAATTAAATCAGTGTTTAAATTATACATGTTACCTAGAACCACACCGCGTTGTGATGAAAAACTGTGCTGCGACTGCTTTTCTAAGGCACCATTAAATTTTCCTAGTTCGGAGGCGGTCGTACGCGAAAGGCCGAGCCCGTACCAGTGTAAGTGCGGTTTTCTCTCCAATTACGTAGGAATTAGGAGCTCTCGCTGGCACAGGCCTAAATGGCGGATCTGTTTGCGGGAGCAAAAAAAGCTGCTACATCTTTTTATAAAGAGAGCAGTAACTGGCATAGCAGGAACCATTGAATGATAAACTAGGCTTTTACTTGGTATTAACGGATCGATTGGCACATATATGTTTACTGCCGTTATCAGAATCATAAATATTATACAGTACTGTCTAGACTAGACTCTAGAGATTCCAGATTCTAAAATGAGCCGAGGTACCTCCGGACAGTCGCGTAAAATTCAACAATACGCAAACACGTCCTACACCGGCATCAGAATCATTTTTAATTTTTGTTGCTTTCTTATTCAGCAGTAAAGAATAACATTGTAATTTTAAACTGGCGAAGAAACTGTATAATGAAAAATGAAATATATTTTGAAACACATGAAGAAGATTCGGAACTTGAAATACTTTTGTACATTTTTTTTATAGTTTAGGCGTTTAACATATATAAATTTCACATGAACAAAATCTAGGTCCTTCACAATTATTGATAGGCAGATATCCCCCTTATGAGGCTGACTATGGAGGAGGCTTTTGTCACCTCTAGACTTTTGATAGGCTGTAATGATGATGGTGAATTTTTTTTTCGTATAATAAGGGTGACAAGTAAGTATACGCTCTACCTGATAAATGAATGCTGTGTCTCCTAGACATCTGCATTTATCCTTGATCAAAAATTAAAACGACAATGCATATAGCTAGCGTTATCTCCAAAAGGCACTCCATCTTAGTCCTCAGAGATCCTCAGAGAGAGAGAGAGAGAGAGAGAGAGAGAGAGAGAGAGAGAGAGTACGAAGGCTACAGATCCACTGATTCGTCTGTAAGCTTCTTTATTCGAAGTTAGTTGCAGGTATATACGTGGTAGAGCCACACTGCAGCTATATTGTGGTTGTAGCACGAATAAGTCGGCTCGACCCCGGGAAGGACCACGCTCTCACAGAAATCCAGCGTAAAATAGCAGCTTAATACTGCTGTGTTTCGTTTAGTGAGTGTAGAGATCCGGAAACCCTTTTTACCTGAAATGAGGCATCCCATCTTAGTCCTCAGCGGAAATAAAGCATCTGCGTTTTGATTTTTAATTGAGGATAAATGTAGATGTCTAGGAGCCACAGCTTCCACTTACCATCAGGTGGACTGTGTGCCCGTTTGTCACCCTCATGCTACAAAAAAAGGTGTGGGCTTCAGTAGTCACTCACCATCAGGTGGAGGTATGTCATTTACATTTATCGAGGATAGATATATGTGGGCCACGGCAACCACTTACCATCAGGTGCACTATAAAAAAATTACCATAGACAACACAGCTGCGCTATGTGGTATTTAACGCAAAAATATTATGAAAGCTATTCATATGTCAAAATCAATATAAACAACGACTTATAATTAATGCATATTTTATTAATAACTTATAATTTTCTCAATAACAAGCATAAATTAGGTCTGGTTGGCCTTTGTAGATAATTTGCAAATTGTATCAGTTCGAAGTTCAGATATTGGTCTGTTTATGGAATTTGTTCTGGCAATAATTAACTATAGTACGTGAGGGTAGTATGATCATCCGGTTAATATAGTTACTTTCTTATAACTCAAAAACTACAGCCCTATTTGCATAGATGGCCTTGTGCTACGATAGCTCTTCATCGGTAAATCACATATTAAAGGGTAAAAAGGGTGATTCTTAATCGACACCATCTTGCCGTGTAGTGGCGGTTGAGAATATCCACTACC